ATAGTGAAAACGCGCGCGCAAATAATCTCCCCCTGGGCGGAGTGACACGCCTCCTGATTGGTATAATCAAGATATAATCGGAGTGGCTGCATGGCAAAACGCGAAGATCAACTCCCTACACAACCTTTCTATCGGATGCTAAAAGTTTTTACGTTATCGACCGCGAGTCGGCAAACGTGTCAACGTTTCACCTACAGTGCGCGCGATGGGGCGGCGTGTACATACGCCGATATAGTGAAAACGCGCGCGCAAATAATCTCCCCCTGGGCGGAGTGACACGCCTCCTGATTGGTATAATCGGAGTGGCTGCATGGCAAAACGCGAAGATCAACTCCCTACACAACCTTTCTATCGGATGCTAAAAGTTTTTACGTTATCGACCGCGAGTAATTGGAAAACGTTTCAACATTGCACGCACATTGTACGTGCGGGGCGACGTGGATACGCATTTTTGCTCGAGTAATTTTACTATTAGTCTTTTAATATATTTTTAATCATTATATCGTATGATATAAAAACGCGCTCTTCTCCTGGGTGGAGAGACACACAAAAACTTGATCAAACTCGCTGACCATAATTTGAGAAAATAGAACATATGTTCTAATATTATCTCTCAACCAGTTCAACTATAGTTCAACTAGTTGAGAGGCTAGAACATGTCTATTTTCTCAAATTTTGGCACTCAGCCACTCTTTCCATAGCAATCAGAAGGTGTGTCCCTCCCCCAGGGGAAGATTATTTGCGCGTGCGTTTTTGCTATCGGCGCCAGGCTAGCGCGAATGACTGTAATACGAGCAAAAATGCGTATCCATGCATGGCGCCCCGTGCGAACACTGCGGGTCAAATGTTGAAACGTTTGCCGACTCGCGGTCGATAATGTAAAAACTGCGAACATATATCTGCTAGAAAGGTTGACGCCTGAGTTGTGGGAGCTGAGATGCTGTTCTCGCAAAAACATGGGCATGCAATTTCGAGCCAACATCGAGTAACGAAAATAGAACAGGTTCTATAATCTCCCAACCAGTTGGCCGCGCGGCGTTTACGCTGCTGACTGTCGGTTGCCGAATTGCGAAATTGGACCAATTCGTCAGCTCGCAGCATAAAGTCGATAGTGTAAACAGAGCTTTACATTGGGTGGCCGTGATCCTGCAGCCAGTGGTTCATTGTAGACCTCTCTCTAGAGCTACAGTAGTGTTTTTCCGCAGTTGCATGAGTCTAGAATTTGTAAATGGCGACTGCCGAGCTATGCCCCCAGAGATCGAAGATAAACCTCCTCATATACTTATATGAGAAGGCTGAATGCCTGTGGCGTATAGGAACGCCTGAACACAGAGACGGGGACAAGAAGCGAGAAACGCTAAAAGAAATTGCGAACATGCTTGAATGGCCGGGTAAGTGCATCAAAATATAGCATGGAATGTTTCGATCGTTTATGTATATGATCAAGAGTAGATAATAACACATGAGTAGATAATGTGTTATTATCTACTCTTGATATGATCAAGAGCGTATAAAGAAGGTTATATTCTTTATACATTCTTGATATGATGTCTGGCATCTGCGCTGATGTGTCTGGTGTCAGATTATTTTAGATATATAGATTATTTCTCAGACATTCTGATTTCTGCAACATATATTCAATAGACAGAAACTGCTAAATGCCTTTTAATACGTTTCACAAAATTCTCACACGGCTTCTTGAAGTAAATATACATTACATCATGAAAGCGCAAGGTAATTCTTGAAACGGTAATTTTTCCTCATTAATTTTACTGTAACAATCATGAATAATATCTAAACAAATTGTAATAATCTGTTATAAAAGAATATAATAATAAAATCTATTGTGAGAGATCTGCGTGATTAGTATGATTACTATAAATTTTTATTTTTCAGTGTCTGACGTAAAGAAAAAAATTATAAACCTGCGCACATATTTCGCCAGAGAATTTGCGAGAGTGAATAAGAGTATATCTGAACCTGGCACCGCACACATGTACGTGCCACAATGGGCTCATTATGATGCACTGATGTTCCTCCAGCCATACCAGACGGCAAGGAAATCTATTTCTTATTTGGTATGTCTATTCAATTCCTCAACTGCCAAGCCACTTGGCCCTCATTGCCAACAAAGTACTTGCATAAATCTTCCCTCACCAGTTCAACACTACCACAGCTTTTGCTGGGGGTCTGTTGAGTTACAGAATTTATGATGTCTCTCTCTTGATTCCCTCCATGATCCGTAAAGTACTTCATGGGTTATTGGGAGATTCCCAGTAATACATAGTAACAGGAGTATTCCCCAGTACAAGTTTATGAAGCGCACACGTTGCCAGGACTAACAGTTCAGGGTTTTTTTTATGCAGGTGCAGTAGCCGTGAGGAATACTCTGAACCGGTTAGCTAAATTTCCGAAAGCATTTTCTACTACTCTACATGCCCGTGATAGCCAATAATTAAAGATTTGCCTGCTTTTATCAAGCCCTCGTCCCGGGTATGGCTTCATCGTGTAACGTTTTAGAGGGAAGGCCTATTAAGTAACTGCCACAATAGTCATAGACTGAATATTTTGCATTACTAAGCTTAATTTTTCCCGTGGTATGTTTAGGGTGTTTTCTTCAATGGCCATGCTCAGAGTCGAGTTTCGATAAACACCCACATCACTAGCTCTACTATTACTTCCAACATCAATGCGAATAAACCTATCATTTGCATCAACCAATCCAAGCAAAACAATGCTAAAATAACCTTTATAATTGTAAAACAATGACCTGGATTTTTTGGGGAGTTCTTATCCTAACATACTTCCCACCATGTGCACCGATGCAATTTGGGAAATGTTTGATTTTTTGCAATTCATCGTTAGTCTCGGGAATCTAAAAATGTATTTTTTTCTAATTTAAGGACGAGTCACAAGAATCGGAAACGACTTATTTGGACACAGAGGTGCTAACGGTTTATGCCAAAGAAGAGGACAGTCAGGATGATTATGAACAGGAGGAGACTGAGGAATCACAGTCATTGATGAGGAAAGCCCTCTCACCAACCCCATCCACTGCATCAAGAGTATCGACAGCATCACACCCATGTTCAGCCCTGATAATGAAGGACACTTCCAAGACAGCAAAATGCAAACTTTCAGGCCTAATAGCCCCCAAAACTAAACGCACTAAGCCTGCCGATGAACTGCTTAAACAGGCTGTAAAATTCTTCAAGGATTGCCATGGAAGCAAACTGGAGAGCCACACTGTACTCAAGCAGCATGCTGAAACAGAAGATGAGGTTTTTGTAAAATATATTACGATGCAGTTGGCCAAAATTAAGGATGAACGTACAAAAGGAATCGTGAAAATGCGAATACAGCAAGTTATATATGAGGGACAGTTTCCCCAGGGATATTTGCCACAAGTGCCCAATGCACCACATACCAGTTGCTATCCAACCACATCTCAAAGCCAGAATAGCACTTTGACAAATCAATGAAATGTGGTCGCGACATCCACGTACCTAAAGGGGCCATTTAAACGGCCAGTAACCATGCTGTAAGTGTAACTGTTAGATTCTAACGAGCATACTTACATATGCTGTACAGTAGAGCTACAGTAGTACATATATATGCTGTACAGTAGAGCTACAGTAGTACATATATATGCTGTACAGTAGAGCTACAGTAGTACATATGCTGTACAGTAGAGCGAGTTTAATTGTACATTATTCTACGATATTCATAGTTTTATTTTGTAATTTGTATTTTATAATTTTTTTTTTTTTTTTGTTTTTGGTTTTTTTTTCTTGTTTTTTTTTTTTTGTTTTTTTATCTTTTTTTTTTTTTTTTTTTTTTTTTTTTTTTTTTTTTTCATATAATTATCATACAATTATCAAATTAAATAAATATATATATATATATACAGTAATAAGGAGTATATCGTATATATATATAAATATATATAAGTATCAGGGGAAAAAATTTCTTTGTTTTTCACGAGAGCTCTTTTTCACCAAGTCTGTGGGAAAAATTGTTCTCGTCAAAAATTTTACGGGAGCGATTTCGAAGGTTTGAAGAGCGAATCGCTCATCACTGCCGTGTATTTTTTACCCTGATAAGTATATAGCAAGTAAAAACATATGGGCACCCATGTAGATATAGAAAATTTAGCCAATGGAAGTGATTCTATATGACATATGCATGTGTTCATAATTGTTATGTGTGTATAATCAGAGCGCTTTATTTACTTATATCAGGGGTTAATAATGTCATTATTAACATCTGCTTATATCAAGACAGCATGACTTTTTAAGTTTTATTATGCAGAACTTTTATTCTTTCAAGGGATAATAAAACATATATACATGTTGCAAAAAGTAAAACTCAGTGTTACTGCAACTTGCAAGTCAATATCGCCAGTACTTAAATCTGTTACCGTATATTATGCATTACACCCATCTGGCATTAGGTGCGTTCTTCTGCGGAAACTGTAATTGTTAATAATGGAAGTGGCACAAATATCACTCATCTATAATTATGAATGCTTTGTTGACAATAATTTTTGAACAGATTTATTAAGATAAAGAAGATATTTTATAAGACAAAAATTAAGAACCTTGGCTAGGAAATATTATTAAAAATTAAATCATAAATATTATTTAATAAAAATGAAGAAAGTCTACTTTTTATGATTTAATTGTTTTATATTCAATACATGTATGTTCAGCCCCAGTAATACTAATAAATTATTATAACTTACATGCATAAATACACGCACACGCAGATACATACACACACAGACACAGAAGCACACACACATCCACACATACATGCACACATATACACACATTAATACAGTATTAATAGTTCTTGATATACACATATATATATATATATATATGTATATATATATATCGCGTATGTAATAAATATCGCGTGGTGTGTGTGCGTGTGTGCCTGTGTACATAAATAACATGCAAATTGCAATATACATATATATATATATATATATTGCAATTTGCATGTACCCGTCCAAATGTTAGTAATTGAACATAAAAACCTGGCTTTTTCCTTTTTTATTAAATTTAATATAATCCCAAGCTTTAGTTCTAAGTTTTATTAAGTTTTTCTTAAAAACGTTGCTCAATCTTAGTTTGAGACCCTGGGGCGCGTTCCACAAAGCTCCGTTAGCTATATTCTCCGCTATCTTCTCCGCTAACTCCCGAGTTGTCCACTAAATAGTGTCATATATCTGTCATATGTTGCGCTGTTTTCTTACGGGTATGGATACGTCTGTGACTGGGTGTAAAGAGTCGGCGCGGAGGGTTCTTCCCGCCGTGCGTGAATAAAGATAATGCGTTTACTTAATGTCATACGCCTTCTCGTGATACGCATACAAAACAGTACTTGGTGGCAGCGGTAAACCAGCCGTGAGATGCCAAGAGTGACTGGTGAGTCGGATTCATGCGTTTTCCCGTCATGACACGGCATATTTTGACAACACGGTGACTTTTCGTTCGGTGCCTCACGGCTTCGACAAGTACAGTGCAGATACACGCCGCTGTATACACCCATGTAGCTGCATCTCTCATTGGCTGCTTCTCACCTCGATGAATTGTTCGAGCCAGTGCAGGCAGAGCAGACGTTGGGTGATAGGCAGGCTCTGATGGTGACCGTCCCGCAGCAAGCGTGTGTACAGGTACGTCTCCTCCGCATCCGCGAATAGATCGTCAGCAAACATCGTCTGCAATGGCCGTCGCAGCAGTTCAACATAGCGGAATGAAGCTCTTCGTGAAGCTTTCATTGCGTTGCGCGAGTGTGCGCGTGTTGCGTATGCATGCGTGCATGTGTGTATCCATGTGCGTGCGTATGTGTGTGCGTGCGTGCATTCATCTGTGTGTGCGTGTATGCGTATGTGTGCATGTGCGTGCGTATATGTACGTGTGTGTGTGTGTTCATCTGTGTGTTTGTGTATGTGCGTGCGTATATGTACGTGTGTGTGTGCGTGCGTGCGTGCGTTCATCTGTGTGTTTGTGTATGTGTATGTGTTGATGTGCGTGCGTATATGTACGTGTGTGTGTGCGTGCGTGCGTGCGTTTATATGTGTGTTTGTGTATGTATGTGTGTGTGTGCATGTGCGTGCGTATATGTGCGTGTGTGTGTGCGTGCGTGCGTGCGTTCATGTGTGTGTTTGTGTATGTGTGTGTATTAGTAGGGTATATTACATAAATAATGCCATCCACATTAGCAGCAGGTTGAGGCAAATTGAGCAAAATCGAGGCTGAATGAAGTTCTTCGTGAAGCTTTTATTGCATTGCGCAGGTGTATGCATGCATGAGTATTGAGTATGTGTGCACGTGCGTGCTTATACGTGCGCGTGTGTGTGTACGTGTGTGGGTGCACGCGCGTGCGCGCGCGTGTGCGTGCGTGCGTGCGTGCGTGCGTGCACATGCATGTGTGTGTGTGTGTGTGTATGTGTGTGGGTATTACTATTAGTAGGAAATATTACATCAATAATACCTTCCACATTAGCAGCAGGTTGAGCAATGGCACATCCATGGTGACAAGGTATTTCATCATGATTGTCTGGAAAATCTATAGAAACAGAGAGAGAGTGAGAGAGACAAAGAGAGAAAGAGAGAGACAGGGAGAGGGAGAGGGCGAGAAAGAAAGAGAGAGAGAGAGAGAGAGAGAGAGAGAGA